AGAACCTATTGCAATAAAACGGCAATTTCATACTTTAACCCCTAATAACTTTGATTAGGCAAAGAAACAAACCTTTGCAAACCTACGAAGGTAAACAACCAATGACTATCATCAATTTAAGTTTACAATCACCAAAATGGAATTGTTTTGTAACCACAAGAACCAAAATTGAGAAATCATATCCTTCGTATAATACAGCCACATGTGATCTTATGTCAAAAGTGCTTTTATTATAAGTTATAAAATAATACGAATTGCATGAAACAATCTATGAATATATGAAACATGATAGCTCTCTCGCTAAGCGACACGCTTGTCCATAACAGTTGCAGAGCCGCTACGAGCTTTACATAGCAAAGATTTGACGGACACTGTCACTACACCCGTCACCCTGAGTCATTAGTTGAAAAGTCCCATGTGCCTGCAATTTCACCAGCATTTCATTTTGCGGATGTGGCCTTATTGCATCACCAAGTGTGCGAAATTATCCTTTCATGTGCATATTTTTTGCAATATCGATTTGCTACTTCAAGTTTAGCCAAGTGTCTCACTTGAACGCACAAGCTAAAATTATCAATTGTACACCTCTCATTAAAACTCTAAAATTACGAGGGAAGTACACAACATACATTACCTACGAACTCTAAATCATAGCGTCTTCGTTAATTACCTGAATTTCTATCGAGTCATTTGAGTACACACAATTTAAGCGAAGGAGGAAACTAACAAATGGTGTTATTTTTGTACAAACTTGGAGGACGGATTAAATTACATTCCACGCGTTTCGTGAGGTTTTCCGTGGGTTATCAGGATCGTGCTTAGATTTTGCGTAATAGCCGTTTAGTGTTACAATGTCTGTTGATCGATTTTAGATGGATTCACTGACACTTTTAGTTTCATAGTATTATCAGCCTTGCAAGATTGATTTTATTGATTTTGCCTTATTACCGTGATATTCATCTAGTAAGTAATAAAATAATAAGTAGTTTCATAATAATTGGTCATTGTAATATAATTGGTCACTGGTTGAGTGAAGACAAACTTTCATAGATTTAAACCAAAGATAAAGGTCTATGACACGCATAACAAGCGCATAAACAAATTATTATCAGTTATATTGAAAATTCTGGGGATTTCATATTGCGTTAATGAATAGTATAGTAATAAATACAGTAAAAAAAAATAGGCGCATTGTAGTCGAGTTGCGGATACCAGCCCGTTGCACCAAGTACCAAGTACAGTAAAAAAAATGCGGTCATGACGACTTATAAATGTTATAAGGAGGTTATAAATTCATACTTAAATATACATAAAAAATATATTTTAAATATATTGATTTATTAAAATTTTCCTTTTTAAATACTAACAAGATTATTGTTTAATTTTCCAAATTGCGACATCTTCACAGAACTAATTTCTATAGAGGAAGGAAACACTTTGTAGCTGAAACAAATACCCTTGCTTAGGTACCATTTTCTGACAGCAGATAACAAAAATGTGTCATTGTCTAAAAATATGAACATCTATAAATTTTCTTACCTTAAAAGCGTTTCTGAATTTATTGGACATAATATTGTAGAGAAACGGATTGATTGCAGTCGATAGAAAGTACAGGACACCCGACAGGTACGTGAACACGATGTACACCTGCGAAACAATGAAACACACTTTTGATACACAATTTGCACTATCGTTTTCTGTTTATGTAACAGCGTTTTAATTTGTCAATGATTTACGAATGAATTAATGAATGAAATATTCTTTATTGCATATTAAAATTACAATGACAACACAGAACAGTAATGTAAGTATCACAGAGTAAGCTAATATACAACAGGCGTTGTAATGTATATATTACTAATAAAATGCAAGAAAAAAATTATATCATTTCATAATAAATGTGAATTTCCCAATTTTTTCTAAAAATAATTTCAAAGCTCAATAATTTAAATCTAAATCGTAATAGGTTAACACTTTCATTATCAAGGAGGTCGTATAGTGAACAGATAAAGAAAAAGATCAAAAGTGAGCAGCTCTAAAGAAGTTAAGAAGATGACTATGAACCGTAAGATGTGGAGTACGGAACTAGAGCCTGGGTCATAAATAGGATGATGATGAAGGCAATAAAAAACGAACAACTTTAAAGTTGCAGGTATTCTATTATCCACTGAAAGTCAGACACCGAAAAGCTGACAGAGATAATAAGAACGTCTCAAATTCACGTCAACAATGTAATACTTAGAAATACTAATTAGATTGCTCCACGAGTTCACAAAAGGTAAAGTTGACGGTAGTAGAAATGAAGAAAGTTAATTACCAAAAAAATTATTAATTACGCATCGTTTTAACAGCACACCCAGCTACTAATTTTAAATAGCAGCTGGAATTCAGGAGTCAAAAAGTCGCAACAAGAAATAAACCAACAACAATAGAGGAAGTTTGGACTGTGACAGCAAGTTGAAAGCTACTTTTTGTTTCGACAACAATTCTTAGTTACCTACTCAAAAAAAGCTATGATTATTGCTATAAATTAAGTCAATGTATAAATGATACTATTTTAGTTTTTGCTTATGTCACAATACCTCCAATGAACACAACGCCAACTTTTTTTATGTTTTTTTTTCTGTTTTTTTTGTAGACGGCCATATTTATTTATTAATATTATGCTCCCCGAATTTATGAACAAAAAATTTAAAAAAAAACACAAAAACAAAATTAGAAAAAAAAACTAATTTTGTCAAAAAAACGAAACAAAAAACAAAATATAAACAAAACAGGTCGAAAAATTAAGTTGGCGTAATGTTCATTGGAGGTATAGATCTAAAAGATAATAGAAACTATTTTATGAAGGTACGAACTACAAATAATACGTAGACAGAAATTATATTATTATAACTCTCAGTTTCAGTTTCTTTCACAAGCTTTTCGATTGATTCTGGTTTTATTTGGGTACCAATTTCATTTCATAGGAACTTCTATAATTAAGTACCTACAATTCACTATTAAACATTTTACAATACCTCAACTACTCTCAGTTGCATAAGTCCGAAAATTTACAATTTCCATCAAAATCACTTATGTTACGACAAGCATTTAATTATTTATTACGTAAATATTATGGCTTCCGAGATATATTCCTTATCAAAACAATGTTCCAAGAATTCATGTACGTACTTTGTAATAAGTGTATAAGAAAGTATAACCCTTAGATTCGAATCATTTTATTACAGTACGTACCTAGTGTCTGACAGCGGGTCGTTTACCGCTGACGTGTGTGACTATCTTAATAAGGTTTTTATAATTATTGCATAATACACACTTCATCAATTTATATTTATTATATTAACCATTTTCGTGTAGACAGAAACCAAAGGTTACTTTGCCAGACTAACTTTAAAGTAATAATAAGTACAAAACAACAATAAAATTTGTGACTAATCAAAAACATCAAAGAATAGTTACGTATAGTCCAGAGCAATGATATTAGAAATATTTAAATCGGTCTATTCCACTAGTCCCTACCAGCTGTCCCCAGCTGGTGAGTACAAGTGGATTTTTTTTTCACTTTTCCCTACTACACCGTCACTAGTTGGGATAAGTGGAATTTCATTTCCACTTATCCCTACCCAACCGTTTCTATTAATAGGTAAAGTCGAGAATAAAACTGTGTCAATGAAAAGCACCTACACGGCTAAGATCCTACACGGCGCCACTCGACACTGCCGAGTTTTTATTTTGTATTGGTTTGTATGCTAAGCGACCACACTTTCCTCGTTTCGAACTACTCGCCGTTCTTACGGCACTATATCTTTTTATTAGATTATTTATTGTATATGTATATTATTATTATATTATATTATATTATATTATATTATGTTATGTTATGTTATGTTATGCTATGCTATGTTATGTTATGTTATGTTATGTTATGTTATTCTGTGCTATGCTATGCTGTGTTATGTCATGTCATGTCATGACATATATTATATGTAGTAATGGTTCACAACAATATAACAGAAACCTAATTGCAGTGGCAAGAATTACGGATCAAAGTTTAAGTGTTACATTTAACGATAACATAGCTAGTGTTAATGATAGCTATGATAATACTAAAACTTGTCGCGAATCGTCAAAGTAATTTGTATTACAATCCGGAAATATATTATAGCGCCTAGTACCTATAGCCATTATATAGTGTCAGCGATTACGGAGGTAAATGTTGCTATATAGACATGGCATAGATGTTCAGAACACTTTGAATGCAAAGCATCTTATCAAAGTTATAAATAGATCTGATATGAATTTCATTTCAGAATTCTTCTTTTGTGCGAATGAGTAAATGACTGGACCATGTAATGAGTTATTTATAAAGAATTGTTTAGTTTGATGTTTTAGGAGCCCTGCACCATACAGCCATGTATGGTGCAGGGTGGTGGGTGGTGGAGCAAAGTATTTCGTCATCTTTATCGATGACTATACGAGATGGTGTGCAGTATGTGGTCTGAGTAAGAAACGTAAAGTTTGCACAACGTCTAAAGCATACAAAAATTACTTGGAAAATTTGATGGGACATAAGATCAAATATATTCAGTCAGAGTATGCAGCCTAGCCTTAGAGAAAGGAAATAATACGGACCGTCCACATAACATATTTAAAAGTAGAAATGACAAGCTGTAACAATAAAATAAAAAATTATAAAATTATATTTATTATTATTAACACTCCCTATTAAAAAATTCAGAAAACATTCACCCTAAAAGGGCCTATGATATCTATATGATTTAACAGGAAATCACGTGATGTTCGGAAATAAATGAGGGTGACGAGTTATAAGCACGTCCTCTCGTTTTGAGAATTGTGGTGGGAGTGGTGACAAAACGAACCACAACGTAAGAATATTGAAGGAAAAGGGAATTCGAAAACGATTTAAAATTTTAAAAGTAAGTGATCAAGAACCATTAAAGAGGGTGACAAAAAAGGGGGGATGACGATCACGGAGGTCAGCATCGTCACAAGTCGAATGACGAATGAACAAAGAAAGAAAGAATATCAAGAAGATTGACAATTCCTGGCATACCTACATTATGCGATAACTAAAGGATGAATAGGACCTTGGAGAAGATGGCGAGATGTATGTAAATTTCGTCGAAATACTCCGGGAAAAGGATAATGAAATCAGTTTTAAGCGAGATTGGTAACAAAAGGTTTTAGTCAACGTTATGGCGTTGATTATCAGAATATTATCTTCACGCCAGTCACTAGGTTTGACATTGAACTTGATTTGAAAATTCAGGTTATACTATACTCTATATCTCACTTATATCAATAGTAGTATTGGCTACCTGCATTATTCCATTCTTCGTCGTATCATTCTTTTTGGTGATTTAATTTCAAATTGTTGTTCTTTTTTGTAATTGACTGTACCCTTCAAATAAAAAAATAATTGAGTCCATTCTGCGTCGTATCATCTTTTTTGGTCATTACATTTAAAATTATTGTTATTTTTTTGTAGTTGGCTTTACTATTCAAATTATTTACATGAACGAGTCAGGAAGACGTTACGTTGAGTGATCTGAAAACTAGGGATGTGTGCCGATTCAAGTGATCGCTGTACATGTATAAGCAACTTTTACTGAAAGGGATGGTGTTGCAAACATCTTTTTTTTTATAATGCACTCACTCAACACAGCCCCGCACTAGGGAATCCCTGTGTCGCGGGTGCCATGGACACACACTTAGACAACCACAAACTACACCCAAAGTCACGAGAGAAAGAAATGTAAGCCATACACATATTTCTCCCGGCCCTGGAATCAAACCTGGGACCTCTGCGTGGCATGATAACCTTTCAGCCACCGAGGCAGTCAAATCATTAAATGAGCTATGTATATATTTTAAAAACATGGACCACGAAACCATTTTTAATTTATTTTATTTGTCTGCGCAGAGAAGAAATGCGATTGTTGAATATAAATTTCTTGGCATTTCTTTTTTCTTTCGAACATACACAACATTTTTTTACATTTTTTTATAACGTTGGAAATAACAAATTCAACAAGAGACGTATTCATATCACATCGTGACACTTAACGGCAAATAGTCGAAAACAACGAAAGATCAATTTTAGAATTGTAAATTAAGATATGTTTACATTTTAAGTCAAAAATTAATTTTGCTGATAATATTATAATATTAGGTGGAGAAAAAGTATTTTGTAAGTAGTTGCAACATTTGAATAATCTGTTTTATTCCTCGTTAAATATAAATTAGAAAACCGTAACGAATGTATTATTTATAAAAAAATCTCGTTTTCCGGTATCTTGTGAACCAGTCAAGTAGAACTTAGCATAATGTATATTTTGAAAAAACTAAAAATAAATTGGAGCTGTTAAATATTCATAAAGTAACAGAATTATTACGGTATTATAATTCTGAAATGTATTCGCCTAAATTCGACGTTGTATAGAACAACCCAAATTAATTAACAAATAGCACGACATTAGATAGAGGCATATCTCTATTCCCGTGTTTGCGTAATATGTGGAATAAAAAGTTAATATCATTCGGTATACGGCTGTTAGAGTTTACGATAGCTTATATGTATATTGCTCGGTCAATCGTAACGATCTCTTCACCGGTGCAGAAATTTCGCATTGAGTTTATGTGTATGACTTTGAAAATCATAATCGTTTTGAAGATCCGCGTACCCTCCAGTCAGAGAGTTGTCTTATTATACGTTATAAAGGTCGGTTTGTTTGAAAAAACAAATATACGCGATATAAATCGGGAAAAATAGTTTAATTTCTTATACTTTAGTAGAGTATATATTAAAAATACCAAGTAATATGTAGCGCTGGGGTTCTCCAGGCTCTTCCCGTAGATGGCGATCAACCTCTGGACGTGGAATGGGGCCCAGCACACGAAGAATGACAGCGTCACTGCCACTGCAAAACAAAATTAGTATTTTTACATGAACACTATTAAAATACCATCAACTTACCATATTACATAAACATTTATCATAATATCATCAACTTATTCCCATTATTACCACTAACTTATTATTATATAAGCTTTATGCAATACTTTGTTGCTTTGCAATTTCATTTTTATTGATTTTATTTAGTCAGTATCATAAATCAGTTACTGAAAATTAAGCTTTAAACTTAGCGTTTTAGCTCAAAACACATCATGTTACATTTTTTTTTAATAACGTAAAATGCTCACAACGCATGCTGTGCCAGTTTGCGCTTGACTCACGTTATAAAGACAATTACCGTGACGTGGCGGGATTCGCATAAATCTCCATTCATAGTCTAAAATATATGTACAAAGGCAAGCCTTTTCTTGAGAAAGTTCAATTTAAACCATTATAATTCTTGGATAATGTGCACTATTAAATTTTTGAAATATTTTTTAAAATTTCACATTCAGGGAGGTAGATTTTGGAGAAAATTCATTTGTATTTTTATCTACAATTACGAAAACAATGTGAAACTCAAATTAGCTTTTTTAACAATAAAATGCTTGCTAGAAGGTATTAAAGAATGTTAATCACGTAAGCACAAATTACTTAAAGGTTTCATTTTCCCTTTTAAAAAGCATAACCATTGATTACCAAAGTAAGCAGTAATAATTGGTGAATGAACAGTGCTACAATAAATTATTGAGAAAACCTATGTACCTAAAATCAGAAAACTGTCTTGAATGGGTACCTGTACCGAAACCACAAACATATCATTTTGTTATAAATAAGTCAGTTACCTCACTCTGTATATGCTACATGTAGGTACGTTTCATTAACTGGTTCGTTGTCAATACTAAGGACACAACACAATGTTATTTTTAACTAAAGGACAAATTAACAAAAAACCCATGATGGTATACAACTTGTTATCCACAGATCTGGATTTTCAATGTTAACTTTTTAAATCCTTGCACATATTTTAGTTAGTAAGAATATAATAACAGAAATAATAATTTTACTAAAAATGGTATAGTAAACATCTTCAGGTCCTAAAACATATAAGAAGTCGGTATTTTCAACACAGAATGAATTAAACTTTACATATTATGAATGTATATATTTATATAAATGACGACTGATGAGAATGCGTCACACTTGTCGTAAAAGATGGAATTCCATGCTCTTTTTATTATTTGGCAACACAAATCATCAGTATCACTTTTGTATTCTTTACAGTTTATGTGAGCTGTGAACATTTATTTTGAACGTAATGTCTGTGTATTTTTCGTTTTCAACTGTAATATTATTTATCTTGCGGTAAGAGGACTTAAAGAGTGTTTATGTGTCTTGTATCCAACAATTGCAATAAAAATATGATGCCATGATGATAACAATTTTCTCTACCGCATGATTTAGCGTACTTAAATAAAATTTAACAAATTTACTACAGCCGCAACACTGCGAACGCGTCAACTTTGTTTCTGAAAATAATAACAACTCTGGCATAGTGTTTATTGTTACAGAGGTTAGTTACAAAAACTAATCTAAATCTACGTAAACCTGGAATGATGAAATTGTTTACTATTATAGAGGTTAGTTACAAAAACTAACCAGTTTTAATTCGTCGAAAGGTAGAAAATAAATTAGTACTTACTAATTTACTTTCATATTTATTCCATACTAGGTGGTACCCACGAGTTCGTCTGCGTAATTGAAGTACTTCGAGTAGCCTTACTTGTCCCCTATTTTACCTTGAGGGCTAATTGATCAAAAACGCTGACGCATTGTTTATATCTTACAAAAGGTTTAAATATGAATTTCCAGATCCCTTGCTTGTGAAATGAATGGTTCTCCATACAAACTTTCATCTCGTATTTCACCCCCTTTAGGATTTATTTTTGTAACATAAATGTTCTTGTTCTTGTCAGAACTCTTCTAAGAACATAGATGACTGATGATGAACATAGATGTAGATGACTATCTCTATACCAAAATTTGGTTCAGCGGCTTAGGCATGAAAATGTAACAGACAATAAGAGTTACTTTCGTATATAACTAAAGAAAAGAAAAGCCTTTGGATGGATTTCGTACTTAAAGTAACAGTTATTAATATTAACATCATAAGTTGAATACGTGTCCGTGTTGAATTTTCAATCTACGTCTCGCTCTGATATAAACTCTCAATTCGCTCTTTAAAACAAATTCTATCAGAACATGTCAACATGGGCCATAGTTGGCGTGTTTGTATTTTCAGTTGTGTGGAATATATTCCACGTGATCCGTTTCAGATTTATTTCCAAAACAAATAATTCTCACTCGACCTGTAACTACGTGATCGTAACATAGGTATGTATTACATATGGAGAAATTAGTTGCTATGAGAGTAAACGCAGTGTGAACCTCTCTAATTTTAATTAATACTAACTTTGAATTTCATTTTGTCTCGTGCGTACGTTTAGTAAACAAATTAATTACACAAGACGCCAATCTCAAATTTGAGTCAAACTTTAATTCCCCTTCCGTATGTAGAACACTGGTTGTTGCATTAATACGATCTCCTTTACGAATGCGACGATATAATTTTGATATCTTTGAGCAAAATAGCAAATTATCACTGAAGGAAAACAACAACATTCCTAATTGGATTGGAATATTAATATATCCGCATTTTAGACGTATTAAAAAAAATCACACAACCTTTTTTGTACTTGTTTCTACATTCTTATTTACATGCTGGTATCGTATGTAAATCTTTTGCGCTTGTAAAACTTGTATCGGATAATAACGACAAAACGACAAAAAATTACAAGAGTATTTCGATCAAAGTGCAACTGTACCAAACTAGTTTTATATGAACTTCGGACCTATAATCAGGTTATTATTCTTTTCCTCTGGATCAAGTTCACTTGGTTTGAATGTCGTTTTGAGATCTATTTCTTTTAGTTATTTGATACATTTTTCAATATTTTATTTTAATTTAATTCCAGTGAAGTCTAATTTAACTTGACTGTGGATTAAGGCGACAGGAGCACGAATTACCCATTTGGAGTTCAATACCCAAACTAATATTTTAAACAGATTCGTAATAAAAATTTGACTATGCTGTATGTAGATCACTATACAAGAAAGAAAAAAACAAAGAGAGAGAAAGTATTGAAGCAAGTTAAAATTACCTTAACATTAAACCCTCTAAAAATTTATATAGCATCTTAGTTGAAAACCAACATGCCGTTACATCCGCCATCTTGTCTAAGACCATAGTAGATATATACTCAAACTAAACGAGTTCGTTTCGTTCACTAATGACACACGGCTTCAATTACGTCGCACATACAACGCAATTAGGGGGCCCATTACATTTGCAAACTTTTTCCACGAAATATTTCGGGAGCGAAGGCGTTACGCTAATACTAAATCATTTCTTCATCTTCTTCATTCTTTTCAAGAACGCAACTAATGTGTTTCCATCTGCTTTTGTATTTTCATCAAAAAGCTCTTTCCATATCTAATAACAGTGATATTTTTCAGCACACAAAACATTCACAATAAAACTAGAGACACGAAAGGGTATCACCGTCAGTATAAGCCGCTTTTGCCAAACAATCTACTTTTTCATTATCTACTATGCCACAGTGGAATAGAATCCACTGCAAGACTATATTTTTTTTAATGAGCAAGCAATTGATATATTATGTTAAGAATTATATAGACTATTGGGATACGGCGAAAATTCGACGTACGCCAAGCCAAATGGAATAAAGCGCTCTTGGAATTTGTAAACAGGTCACAGTTCGCAACGAATAGAGTATTTACACAAGATGACGCTTCCGCAATAGTTTATAGCTAATAACTCAATATGCATAATAGATAATGCCGAAAATATGTGACATATAGCATGGATTTGTAATTAAAAATCATAGACCCTCGCTCATTTCCCAGTATTTATCAGTAATTAATCTAAAAAATCCGTCATATTCAACAGAACATAAACGAATAAACGAACCTGCTGTCTTTCAACCTTAGTTTAGGTCCATGTAAAATTGGAATGTTGGGTCTAACAACTAGTAGCACATTAATATAACCATTACAAATATTTCGCGAAGACTGCTGCTAGCTTGCGTAGGCACATTCTGAAAATACCTTTATCCTACCAATCAAAACTGGTTTTTTTCCCAAAAATTGTCAGTGCATGACAAACTTAATTTATTTATTGATGATAATATTGGGTTGCAAAAAGCGTGCCAAAAGGCTTATAGATGACTCGGAGTTAGTTGAGGCGAAGCTGCAGAGACTTGAACATCGCCGTAAAGTTGCCTGCTTATCGGTATTCTACAGGATATATCACGTAGAATGTGCGATGGAATTGCATAATTTGATTCCGCCTTCCCCTTTCCATCATCAAACGACTAAACGTGGGCTGGGATTCCACCCCTATGTTGTGTACATTCCCAGGATTCGCACGCGTTTCGCTTCCACATTTATGTAGCGAGCGGCTAGACAGTGGCATTCCCTACTGCGGACGTATTTCCCGAACGCTATAACTTGGACCTTTTCAAGGCGAGAGTTCATAGGCATTATTTAGGTGTGCATGCTACATCGTCGACCTCATCATCAGTTTCCACTAGGTGAGATGGAGGTCAAATGCGCACTTCTTTTTCATAAAAAAAAATTGCTTTTCTCGAGAAAAATTGGTTTTGTACGCGAAGAAATAGTAGCGATTGCTCTCCGTAACGCGAATAGGTGTACATTTAATTCATTCCTATACAATTCTCATAGTATTATTTTGAACAACATTAAATTTTTAAGATGTAAACTAAACAATACATCATAAAGACTGTAGCCTAATCCATTCAGATTCGTATAATAGTAATATAAATCCATCTTAAACGTAAAGGGAGGACACTTCAATCCCAACCAGCTATAACTTTTAAAATATTCAATTTTTTTTACTAAAGTGTACTCAAATTAATACGCTTTTCCTAGAGAAGCCACAGTTCAACAAGTCACAGTTCTATTAATGTCCCATTAACTTTTAACCCTAAAGATGAAAGGCCTCTCAAAAAAAAACATTACTTACTTTGCGCCAGGTAAGTCCAGACGTAATTTAATTAAAAGTTGTGATAGTAAATTAATACCAATCTGCAATTCAACTAGATTACTAAACATGTCTCCATTTGAGATATACATTTATTTGTACAAAACGAAGTCGTCAGCTATTGCATAATTTGTATCTTAATTAATCTGTTTGCAAATATCAATCAAATAGTTATTTATTATGTAAAGCTGCAAAGTTGTTTGACGCGAGTGCTTGTATTGAAACCTGAGCAAGCGGAGGAAGCTAATATTGAATTGAATTTAAAAATAAATTACTGAGCGTAGCAAGGGTTTCAAGACACGAGACGCAAAACTACTTTGCTGCCGAGCGAAACACACAATTTTTTTTTTTGATTATAAGAAAAAGTTTATCTTCGGATGCGTTCTGAATTTACACCTCATCAATTTTTATTCTTGCTTGTACGTTTATCGCGTAGTTGAACGTGTCATCTTTTATATTTCATCGAAAGAAAAAGTTTGGTGCACCACAGTCTATCGTTAAGTTCGAATTTCAAAAACCTTTTCCACGCTAGAGTGCAAAAAACGCTTTTGGGCGCTGATTTCTAATGAGAAAGAAAGCCTTTCCGAGCTAGTAAGGTGAAAACTATATTAAATAACGAAGGGATTGGCGGATCACCCTGTGGTACATTTCAAAAAACTTCTCATTAATTTGAAAACATTCCAGATGCAGTATCATATTATTACAAACCGCTGCAACGGGAAATCTATCTAAAATTGTTAGAAAAGACCCAAATCAACATCATTACAGGCACTACCGGCATTGACAAAACAGCAAAACGTAGAACGATTATTAGGGTATCCGGTATCGGTACAGTAAAGTTATTATTTATATATAACTAAATTACACTTATTTATACTAGCTTATACTTACTTATATTATATAACTGCCTCCGTGGCCGAACGGTCACCATGCCGGTATGCCACGCAGAGGTACCAAGTTCGATTCCCGGGCCAGGAGAAATATTTATTTGTATGTATAATATATATAATAATACTTGTATGGCCTACATTTATTTCTTTCGTGAGTTTGGGTGTAATTTGTGGTTGTCTATGTGTGTGTCCATGGCACCAGCGACACAGGGTTTCCCTAGTGCTATGTTGAGTGTGTGCGTTATTATTATTATTTAAATTGGATTTGGATTTCGTGAAGCCAGAAATCATTTCCGAGAAAACATTCCTCTTTTCTTATGGGCACTAATCTGTTTTGCCTATGATCGCATGTAAGATTCTGGAAATTAGTGAAATTGGAGAAACAGCTGGAGAGAGATACGATCAGACTTAAGTATTGGTAATAAATAAATACCTTGTTTCTAGAAAATAGTTATGCAATTTAATAAATACAGTTTACCAGTATCAGGTTTTTTTTTATTATAGAATATGAAATATCATTATGGCCTGCGGACGTATCCTTCGACCTAATACTGTTATGTAAACGCAATAGGAGTTTCAATACTATACATTATTGGAGTAAAATGAGGTTCCGCGTCGACGTAAAACACAAGGCAGATCATTTGCAGTAGATCAGCTGTTTTATTTTTATCACCTTGAGCTTTAAGAACTTATCCATGCTCGAACAAATGCATTTGTCCCGAAATAAATTTTAGAGGTTATTGATTAACTCTCTTGTTATACTATAAAATGAGCTAAATGAGTAACTGTTATGAACAGGCGTGTAGCTTACCACCAGGCGCACGACTTGTTCGTCCCGTCACTTGATATTATATGTATAAAAAAATTGTAAAGAACAAATTCCACTCAGTGCAAAGTATACGCGACGCGTCATGTTTTTCACCTACAGTATATTCATCTCTATTTTCCCATTATTAAGGTACAAATTTGTGATATGCAGTCGAGCGGGTTCGCGCGTCACTTGAGCGCAGTGAGGCGTCACAAACCGACCACACTGTGGTCCGGGTGCACTAATGCGAGCGTTGTCGCGCGACGACTTGCGTCGCCAAGCGTTGTAGTTCAAAAACAGGACGCGACGCGACGCTTCGACTCTGCGCCAGTGTGAGTTGAGCCTATAACTGTAAGAATAACGTTAGTCGAAATAATGTCGTTGATTGCAAATGTACAATTGTTTTATAGTAGATTGATGAATCATATATTATTACACAATAAATTAAATTAATACCTGATTCCTAGCACATAATAAATACTACCGTACCTATGTGACCACTAGATGGCATTGTATTAAAAAAGTAATAGATGGCGTTATTTAAAATTTGTATAATGTTGAAATTGCAAGATTAGTTTAATTCGAAGGAACGTTTGACATCCAAATGTACATTTGTTTTATTGTAGAGCGTTAAAATAATTATTCACACATAGTAAATTAATGTATCGTCTATTTTAAGTATTTTTCAATGTAAAGAGTATTCATTTTGATTTAATTTTTTCACCAGCCAATCACCGGCCGTTTCCGTCACATTTCACCCGCTACTAAAAGGTAAAATCGAGTGGAGACACGGGAATGGCAGAATCGGCCGGCGCGGCGCACTATGGGGAGATTGAGTCATTTTCATGTCATAAATCTATAACTTCTAAGTTTTGAAAGATAATTACGTGATTTTTTTTGGATATTCTTGAATATATGTACTTTTCATTAATATACAATTTGTAGGTATTAACATATTTTTAAAAACTTAACTTTTTAAACCTTTTTTAAACTTAATATTTTTTAATAATTTAACTTAATAAAAAAGAAAGCAAAAGCAATTACAAAGTTCATATTACAAAATTGAAGACTATATGTGTCAGATAAAAATGTGTAGAAAGACGATATGGGTCTAGATTCTGCACAAATTTGATTCAAAGTGTATTCAGTAGCATATAAGTTTATTTGAAAAGAGCAATCGCTAGAGTTTTTTCTTCTCAGGAAAGGCAGCGTAGTGAAGCAGTAGCTTACAAAATGACATTTTCAAGTGC